AGAGAGAGAGAGAGAGAGAGAGAGAGAGAGAGAGAGAGAGAGAGAGAGAGAGAGAGAGAGAGAGAGAGAGAGAGAGGGAGAGAGGAAGAGAGGGAGTTGCCATAGGCAAGGGGAATGGAGTATGAAACAGTGGAAGTCCGGAAGGAAAGAACAAGAGTCATGAGAATTGGAAGAAGGATGGGGAGGGACAAACAAGATAAGGTGCAAACGATGAAGGAAACGGGGACTTTTTTTTTGCGTTTTTACCAGCAAAAAAGATACCGTGTGTTGAGGCTGTCGTCTCCTCCCATTCACTTCCAAGCTCCGCAGTATTGCAGCCATCTGAGCACCAATTTTATTTTTGAATGCCACAGAACAGTCATCCAATCACCACCTCTTTCCATCTTCACCCACCCAAGTATTTGTTCCAAGCACCTCACCTAAAATGGACCAGATTTTGTTGTTGTAGACAGCGGCACAGCACCATAGCACCATAGCACCATAGCACCATAGCACCATAGCACACATTCTCCATGTTCACATAGCTTCCTCAAAACATACTAACAATGAATATTCCTTGTGTTGGCATATTTTTCGTTCAAGATTCTAATGATGGATATAGGTTCACAGGCTGGTAGGTAGGTACATAGGTTGCTGGAGCACAGGGGCAAAAGAACATCCGGACGGACAGGGAAGCGGGTGGATGCCAGGCTGCTGGGTGGATAGATGAACGAGTGTATGGATGTAATTAATAATTGGTCGGTCGCTGTAAGTGGATGAGCACAGGGGCAAAAGAACATCCCCACAGACAGCGAAGAGGGTTGGCGGGCAGTCCAACCCTTCCCCTTCGGTCTGTCGGACTCTGTCCGTCTGCCCCACCTGTCCCCAGCCATCCGTCCATCGGGAAGAGAAAAAGGAAGGGAGAGAGAACGAGGATGGCCAAGGACGAAAAGGTATGTGAAGAGGAGGGTTAGGGGAGGGAAAGGGCAAGACAGCGGAAAACCAGGCAGGGAAGCACACACAGGGAGGCAAATGAGAGGCTGTGTGTGTCTTAAACATGCTACCGAGGCTAGAGCGAAGGGTGCTTCAGAAGTGGACAGCAGAACCTTTGGGGCCAAAGAGTTTGGTGCTGAAATTATAGATTCGCAGATCTGCATTGCTCTTAAAAAAAAATCCTTCTGTTCGATGAACTCTGTGCATTCACCAGTCTTGCACTTCCACACTTTCAGCACAGTTGGAAAAAAAGAAAGAAAAAAAACGCTCGGTTGCATCACATTCCGCTGCTGCAACACACCATTAGTCGTAACACCACAGAAAAAGGAACATGCGGAACAAAATAAAATGAAATTAATATTTAAAAGTACTAAAATAGGTAGTGGCAATCCCATCATCTGTTTAGGCCTTTGGGTGACGAGAACACAAAGAGCGGCAAACCCCTGGAAAGTCGAAAACCATGGCTACCATCCAGGACACACCTGGGCCAGGGGCACAGTGCAACTAGCAAAGAGGATTGGATTTAACACCTGAATCTGAATGTGTTTGTGGAGAGGTGCAGAAGATCGCAATTGATTTTCTTTTCCGCAACTCTTTCATAAAACAAAGCCAGAATTCACGTGCTTAATCCAATCCTCTTTGCCAGGGGAACTGGGGCCCCGATACAGCGTTCAGATGACCCATGGCTGAGGCTCTAGAATCCGGACGTCCAGAGATGTCTGGAATCTCTGGATTCCAATGAAAAACTGATTACTAAAATAATAATAAAGAGTTATACTCAGTTTAGTATAACTCAATATGAGTCAATAATAATAAAGTTCAGTATTACTCAATAATAATAAAGTTAAACTATTACTCATGTTTTCAGATTTTGTTCACAAAGTTTGGAAAATTCAGGAAGAGACAAAAGGTTGTGTCCCAGGCCATCAGGCCTCCGCTGTCCAGATGGGCCCCCCGTGGGCCCCCCGTGGGCCCCCGTGGGCAGGTACAGAGTCAGGAAAGCTCTACTGTGCGTATGTCCTTAGAGATGCACAGAAGAAAAAAAAAAAATCGTTTTCAAAATTCAAATTCGAATCTGTAGCATCTTAAAAAAAAAAAAAAAAAGCATCCTGCATTCTTCGATGTTTATTGCTTCCCCGTTTTCTTGGTCATCGCGCATAGGGGGAAAAAAAAGGGGAGAGAACTTCAAAGAAGTCAAAGGAACAGAAAGCTTAGGGCATATTCACACTACGACTCTTTTACGTATTTTTGGACAGAATTGCGGCCAGATACATCCAGGTATGGCCGTGAATGCGGTCAGATGCATTTGAGATACTGCTAGTGTGAGTACGCCCCTAGAGAAGGAAGGCATTCGTGCATTGGGTGTTTCGCACACTTTTCTGCCCTCGCTCTGACAGTCCGATGTCTTGCGCGCAGCACATGCGAAAATAAAGTTGAAAGAAGGGCAGTGAAGACAGAGCTGAATGAATCTGGCCACAATGACGACAATGTACATACATCCACGTTCACACAACAAAAATGGAACAAAGGAAGAGAATGAAAATGAAGGGGAGGGATTTCTCATGACCTTTGCCCTAAAACTGACATCATGAGGGCAACATGCTCCAAGATGGCCAAAACAAAGCAAAGAAAACGAGATGAGCGCATAGCACGATGGATTTATGATTAACGAATCTGGCTGCAATAACTTCAAATAAGGAAAGAGGGATGCGGGCAAAAGACTCAGCAAGTCGTTTCTCTCTCTCTCTCTCTCTCTCTCTCTCTCTCTCTCTCTCTCTCTCTCTCTCTCTCTCTCTCTCTCTCTCTCTCTCTCTCTCTTCTCCAGCTTCCCCTCCCCATCCCGTCCCCCCTTCTCCCCAACACTTTCCAGTTCTCCTGCCCGGACCCACTTGGTGGAATTGTACGGGCACTGGTTTGGACAATCGACGCAACCCAATAATTCAGGTTTGGGGCAAGCATTGGGAGACGGAATTGGGAGAGGGAGTCCAGAGCGGGTGGTGATCTATGTTCACAAGTATCACAACCTTTCTCTTGTTTTTCGCTCCGTTTTCCTGACCATTTTCTCTTGTTTCACTGACTGAAACCCAGTAAAAAGGAAGTTCAGACAACCTCCCTTGCTTCTTTTTTACCTTTTTACCAGTGGTAAAAAGGAAGTTCAGACAACCTCCCTTGCTTCTTTTTTACCTTTTTACCAGCGGTAAAAAGGAAGTTCAGACAACCTCCCGTTGCACTAAGAAAGGTGGTAAGAGAGAGCGGGATAGGTGACTGGACGAACCGGTTCACGAAGCAGCGGTAGCAGGTCCGGTGCCGCCCCTGTTTGCCTCAGCACGGCAACAAAAAGCTGACGCCAATCGCGACCACAGAACATAACACATGTAAGCAAATCTGTCTTCGGGACTTCCCTCTCTCTCTCTCTCTCTCTCTCTCTCTCTCTCTCTCTCTCTCTCTCTCTCTCTCTCTCTCCCTCTCTCTCTCTCTCTCTCTCTTCTTCCAAAAGATATATAAACGCACTTTCATACCTTCTTTAATGCTTGTACATATGCATCTATGCTGATTGCACAGAAACACTATCCCCAAAACAGAATCAAGGGAGAAAGCGACCATAGCATCATATACCAACACAACAACGAAAGCAGGCGGAAGCAGAACAGGAGGTAGAATAGCAAATAGCAAACAGCAACCATGGGATAAATGCCAGTACAATGTTGACCCTTTGCATGAGACAAGGCTCCCCACACTGGCCATCGTGACCAACAACGCAGAGAAGGGAGAACATAGAAGGCTGACAACAGTTCAAAACACTGAAAGTAAAATTTCCAAGGAGGAATGACGACGGCATTGTACCATCCTTTTGACAGTCATCTCCATTTTGAAGTAATGATTTTGGTGCATTAGTGTATAGCACCAGCTGAAGCAGTGATGCGTTCAATACTGTTAGCAAGTCAGTGTACCGTAGGCATAACGTAGCAAGGCAGTCATAAAACAACAAAGTGGTAATGCACTCTTTACATGGCAAAATGAAAAAAAGAAAAAAGAAAAAAAAGATGGCATAATCTCAACACCTTGCAAGAAGATGACTTTACTCACAACAACCCTGCATTGTTACCTTCTTCCCCCGAAGACGACTTACAGTCATTATAGCTGTATTTGGGGTCTCTTTCAGTCTAAATACAGCTATAATGATCGTTCGTTGTGTTTATTCGGGGGAAGTTTTTAGGCAGTAGACTGTCTACTGTGAACCCCTGACGAGACATGTACCGCATTCAGCAAAAAAGAGCTCGAGTCTAAGACGATATGACAGCCAAAAAGTCTAGGAACGTACTGTCTAATCGTTCGTCTCTCACTCTCTGCCTCCTGATACTACCCCTTCCCATATACTTATGAGTTGCAGCCTTGTAACCATCTGGCTACTGATGTTTTTTGAACTTTTTCTCTTCAACTGCCACCAGATGGTTAAGACTTTCGTCTCACGGGAAGCGCAAGGCTGAACGTACTCGGGGTTGGTTGGTGCCGATTTCTTTCCATTTCAAGAGAGAGCTCAGTCAAAGTTTGTCACCAGATACCTACCTAGCCTTTTGTGTTACGGAACGAGTATCCCCTTCCCAACATAACTCGAACAATAGTTTGTTTGTTTGTTTGTTTGTTTGCTTGTTTGTTTGCTTGGAGTAATGGAGTCTTTTTTCCTTCGCCTTTTTTTTTTTTTTTTTTTTTTTAAAGCTCCGTTCTATTGGTGTTGAGCATCACCTGCTGGAAAACGGGTCCAGTGTCCCTGGCTGGGGATTATCTGTGATCATGTGAGCTCTAGTTTGTAACCAAAAACAAAACAAAACAAAACAAAACAAAAACTAGGAACATGTTATTTATGGCTTGAAACTGAGTACGGATCCGGGCCGCCCGGCCGACCAGCGCCTGCCCGGGGGAGGTCCCGGGCGGCCTGGCCGGGTGGGTGGCCCGGTTGGGGGCCGGGCCCCCCCAGCACACCTGCCCAGTGGGGGGTTTCCGACCCCGAATCGGCCACTTTGGACGTCGGCAAGGCCTACCGGGTCAGACCGCGCCGAGAAAACGGCGCGTCCGGCCCGTGAGGCCTGCTTTTTTTTTTTGAAGTTCGGACGGACCTCCGGCCGTCGATCATCCATGATCGACGGCCAGAGGGCCATGCGTTTTTGGAGGGAAAAAGGAGGCCCCGTTTGAACAAGCGAGTGGCTGGGGAGGTCTGCATTCGCTTTCCAAACGGGCCCCCTGCTCCAGCCGCCGCGTTCGTCCTTTCGCCGAAGCAGCTGCCCGTCGTCGCCCGTCGCCTAGGAGTGCCGTCGCCATCGCGTGGGAGCACTGTCACCTGTCGAAGCAGCTGCCCGTCGTCGCCCGTCACCTAGGAGTGCCGTCGCCATCGCATGGGAGCACCGTCGCCCGTCGAAGCAGCTGCCCGTCGTCGCCGGTGCCTGGGACTGCCGTCGCCCGTCTCTTCTTCTTCTTCTTCTACTTCTTCTTCTTCTTCTTCTTCTTCTTCTTCTTGTTCTTCTTCTTCTTCTTCCCTCCTCCTCCTCCTCCTCTTATTCTTCTGCTTCTTCTTCTCCTCCTCCTCCCCCTCTCATCTTCTTCTTCATCTTCTTCTTCTTCTTCTTCTTCTTCTTCTTCTTCTTCTTCTTCTTCTTCTTATAACTCTTCTGCTTTTCTTCTACCACGACTTCTTCACTCCTCCCCCCCTCATCTTCACTTCAGATTTTTTTTTTTTTTTTTAATTCGTTCATGAAACGTCGCGACATAAACGGCAGGTAAAAAAAAATAAAAATAAAAATCTCCGCTCCTCTTCTCTCCTCCTCCTCCTCTTCCGCCCATCTTTTTCTTCTTCTTCTTCTTCTTCTTCTTCTTCTTCTTCTTCTTCTTCTAACCATACCCTAACAGCATACCGCGCCGCCATTCCCCTCCACGGCCGCCTTAACCCTAGCC